TTCAAGAAACTTTAACAAGTTCAAGAAGAAGAACAAAGGAGGTTGCTTTGTGTGTGGAAAGTCTGGTCACTATGCAAAAGACTGTAGACACCGGAAAAGAAACAACTCCGAAGGAAAAATCAACTCCATTCAAGAAGAAAAGATTGTGGCCGCCGTGAGCGAGATAAATGCAATTAAGGGAAAGGTTCCCGGGTGGTGGTATGATACTTGTGCTACGGTGCATGTATCATATGATAAATCTTTATTCAAGACCTATCATGAAATGGATGGAGACCAAGAGATTCAAATGGGCAACGAAGTTCGATCCAAAGTCATTGGTAAAGGAAATGTAGATTTAATCTTCACTTCCGGGAAAAAAGTTACCCTCACTAATGTATTACATGTTCCGGATATGAATTAGAACTTAGTTAGTGGAAATCTCTTAGGAAAATCGAGTATCAAAAGTGTGTATGAATCTGATAAACTTGTATTATCCCTTAAAGGGAATTTTGTTGGAAAAGGCTATTCTTGTGAAGGAATGGTCAAACTATGTACTGTTGACAATAAAATAAATAAAGTTGATCTTGCTTATGTTGTGGATTTATTTTCATTATGGCATGCTAGGTTAGGACATATTGGTAAAAGTACCATAAAACGAATGAAAAAGTGTGACTTAATTTCATATGGTGAAAATAACGAATATAGATGCAAAACTTGTGTAGAATCTAAGATGATTAAAAAACCGTATCAAAGTGTAAAAAGAACCTCTAGTATTTTGGAACTAATTCATACGGATGTATGTGAATTAAACGACATGTTAACTAGAGGTGGAAATAGGTATTTTATTACCTTTATCGATGACTTTTCTAGATATACATATGTGTATTTAATGAAACATAAACATGAAGCATTTAACATGTTTAAGATTTATAAGAATGAAGTTGAAAATCATCTAGGAAAGAAAATAAAAATCTTAAGGAGTGATAGAGGTGGTGAATACTTTTCTAGTGATTTTAATTTATTTTGTGAACAACATGGCATAATTCATCAATGTTCTGCACCAAGGACTCCCGAACAAAATAGTTTGGCTGAAAGAAAGAATAGAACACTTGTGGAAATGATTAATGCTATGCTTATATTTGCTAAGTTACCTTTTAACTTATGGGGTGAAGCTTTATTAAGTGCATGTATGATACTTAATAGAATTCCTTCAAAACATACTAAGGTTTCTCCTTATCAATTATGGAAAGGAAGAAAACCAAACATTGGATACTTCAAAGTGTGGGGGTGTCTTGCTTATTGCAAGAACACGAACCCTAATAGAAACAAATTAGGTCCAAGAGGCATTAAATGTGCTTTTGTTGGATATGCTAACAATAGCAAATCTTATAGATTGTTAAATTTGGAGACCAATGTGATTATTGAATTAAGTGATGTAGAGTTCTTTGAAGATTCATTAACCTCGAATAACGAATTAAGGGAAAACCTTGGAAATATCCCAAACTCAAGTGGAACACGGGATGAAATATCTTCTAAAGATATTAATGAATCTAATGAACCACGAAGAAGCAAAAGAACTAGAGTTAAGAAGTCTTTAGGACCGGATGAAATTGATTCTCAACTTTTCTCATTTTACTTAGTAGAAGGAAATGAGTTGAATGTTGTAAGAACAATTCCTTTTGTGCTACAAGTGGAAACCGATCCTAAAACTTATAAAGAAGCTATGGCTTCTATAGATAGCATGTTTTGGAAAGATGCAATCAAGGATGAAATGGATTCAATAATGTCAAATAAAACTTGGGAACTTGTCGATCTACCACCCGGATCCAAACCTATTGGTTGTAAATGGGTATTTAGGAGAAAATATAATGTTGATGGTTCTCTAAATACTTTCAAAGCTAGACTTGTAGCCAAAGGTTATCGACAAAAGGAAGGAATTGACTATTTTGACACTTATGCACCAGTAGCAAGAATAACTTCAATTAGGATATTGTTTGCATTAGCCTCGATATATGACTTGCATGTTCATCAAATGGATGTCAAAACGGCATTCCTAAATGGGGATCTCGATGAGGAGGTCTATATGGAACAACCAGAAGGAGAATGTGATAAATAAGTTCAAACATTTGAACATAAAAGAGTATAATACCCCTATTGATCCAAGCTCAAAACTTGTAAAAAATGATGGAAGAGAAATTGCTCAATTAGAGTATGCAAGTGCTATTGGAAGTCTTATGTATGCAGTTCAATGCACAAGACCAGATATAGCCTATGCAATAAGTAAACTTAGTAGGTTTACTAGCAATCCAAGTAATGAACATTGGAAAGCAATTGGGAGAGTTCTCGGATACTTAAAGAAAATCAAGAACTTAGGTCTACAATATACTAAATTTCCAGCAATATTAGAAGGATTTACTGATGCTAGTTGGATATCTAGCACGAATGAAAGTAAATCAACTACGGGTTGGGTGTTTACTCTAGGAGGAGGTGCAGTTTTTTGGAAGTCGAAGAAACAAACATGCTAACACATTCAACTATGGAATCTGAATTTGTAGCCCTATCAGATACAAGAAAGGAGGCTGAATGGCTTAAAGACTTATTCTATGAGATACCTTTGGGATCAAAGAATATTTCTTCAATACCAATAATGTGTGATAGTCAAGCCACTTTAGCTAAAGCATACAATGATGTATATAACTGGAAGTCTAGACATATGAGTCTTAGACACAACTACATAAGAAAGTTAATCAAAGATGGAATAATTTTCCTAAATTATGTAAGGTCGAATGAAAATTTGGCGGATCCTCTAACTAAACCTTTAAATAG